GTATGGTCGCTGACCACTTATACCCGAATCACCAGGGATCCTTGTTTGAAACACAAATGACAGAAGCATAATATCCAAGGCATAGAAACTAAAAATCTATCCTCAACCAGCCTACCTCTGATTCCAACGCTCAAGGTTGAGAACGACTGTCAAGGCAAGCTATACCATTTCAGTGGGGGAAGTTAGAAATTCATTACGCAGCGTGCTTTAAATTCTTGTTGCCCTGTTTTGAAAATGTGTGAATTCAAACCTGCCCCTGGCTTCCTCATAAATAAGTGTGATCTAAAGGTAAGCAGAGTAACAGTCTTTGATTTGTGAAAGTGGTTATTTTTGCAAAATTGCTTCAAGGCTCGGGACTTGATGAGATATGAAAATGCTTGAGAAATAATCAATAGCCTGATAAAGCTGTTTTTGATGAACATAAAACAAACTCTCCCCCAAGTGCCTTTCTAAGGAAAGAAGACATTTAAAAAAGTAGACTCTATTAGGCTCCCACCACGTTATGTTACAACCACAAATGTAAGCTTTTTACGTAGTCCCTTCCTTGCCTAAACAGTACTCATATTTTTGGACTCAGTTTAAATGCTCTTTGCCTGGGAGGCCCTTCCTAGCCCCCCAAGGATTCCTACCCCCTCTGGTGCGTAATCAGCTCCTTCCCGGCTCTTCTCCCTGACCTGCCTGCAACCTACCTCCCTGTCACCCTAAAACACGCCCACGTTCACTCTTTACCTACCGAAATCCTCTACAGCCTTGAGGGCTCAGCTAAAAATAATATCTCCTTAAGGAGCACCCAGGTGAGGTCAGGGCCCCCCGAATGGTGAAATGGCAACTAAATGAAATACCAACCAGGCTGCTTTGGGCTGCAAGTAAGAGAAGGCCTGCCTCAATCTTTACCCTGTAAGGAAATGAATTACTGTGTGTCAGCAAGGCTGGAAATTCTAGGGATGCCGGCCCACAGGCTGGTTTCTCTGCCCGCCCCTGCCCTGCGGCCTGCTCCTTCCTGCTATTCCACCTTGTCAGGGGTGGCTGCCAGAGGGAGGGAGACCACGGCTTCTGATGCCTCTTCCTTAGGCATGTGATTCCATCTTTCTCAGAAGCCTCTGGAAACATCTCCAGTCTCACTCGCCCAAATGAGCTTAAGCTTTCCATGCTAGTGCTAAGAGGTGGGATGCCCAAGCTTAATTAATGGGGCTTTTCACACCTTATGTCGCAACATGACACAACAAGAAAATGGTAGTATTTACAAGGGATCCTAGGATAACTGGATGGGGCTGCTCGGTGCAAAGTCTTGGACTGTCCTATATCCTGACCGGCTGAAGGAATCGATAAATGAGCACAAATGGAATGAAGACATTTCTGGCACAACAGGAGGACGCTTTGCTTGAGGTCAGGGGTCTCAAACTACAGCTCCACTACCCATTTGTGTGAATAAAGTTTTATTGGGACACAGCCACACCCATTCATATAGGAACTGTCTTACCATGTACTTGGCCATATGGCATGCACAGCTGAAAATATTCATGACCTGACTCTGGCTCTTTATAGAAACATTTGCCAAACTTTGGCTTAGACTGACCAACTAGAGTGGAATAATATTGGCAAGACAACCACAGTGCCCATTACAGTGCCTGACCCTTTATAACACACTTTCCATATATATATATATGTGTGTGTGTATATACACACACACATATATTTATATATTTAAGTATATGTGCCTTTCCTGTTAGTTTTTAAGTTCCATGAGGGGAATAAATTGTGTCTTTTAATTAATTAATTTATTTTTGGCTGTGTTGGGTCTTTGTTTCTGTGCGAGGGCTTTCTCTAGTTGTGGCGAGCGGGGGCCACTCTTCATCGCGGTGCGCGGGCCTCTCGCTATGGCGGCCTCTCTTGTTGCGGAGCACAGGCTCCAGACGCGCAGGCTCAGTAGTTGTGGCTCACGGGCCCAGCTGCTCCGCAATAGTGTCTTTTTAAATTCGTTCCTGATGCCATGTCCCCAGCACCTTGCACAAGGCCTGGCACATCGAAAGCACCCTATAAATATTCCTTTGCTGAATAATTGAATGAATGCACTCCTTAAATAATCTGCCAAAGTGGGAACAAAAGCAGCAATGATTTCTTTTGGGATACGCTCTAAAGCAGCGGTCCCCAACCTTTTTGACACCAGGGGCTGGTTTCCTGAACAATTTTCCTCGGATGGGGGGCGGGGAATGGTTCAGACGGTAATGTGAGCAACGGGGAGCGATGGAGAGCGGCAGATGCAGCTTCACTCACTGGCCTGCCACCCACCTCCTGCTGTGCGGTCCGGTTCCTAACAGGCTGGGGACCCCTGCTCTAAAGACAGCAATCACAGCTCAGTAACGGCACGCCAAGAAGTTGACCCACATTCCACTATAAGGAGGCCGTGAACCTTAATCACATTAACACTGCCCAACCCTCGGGAGGAAAGATTCATCCACACGCTGTCTATGGAGAGGCGCAGAAACAAGCTCAGGTTCTCAGAAGTGGCAGAGACGGTAAGACGGTACGGCCACGGCTAGCAGCGTGTACGCCACTAACACCGGGCTACGGAGTCATCCTTCCAGAGAACCTCACCCTCGCACGCACAGGGCGGCGCCCAACCCAGCCTAGGCTCTTCAAGTTTGCTCCGTAATCTCTGAGTTCACTCACTCCCTGAAGTTCAGCTCTCATCAGTGTTCCAGGGAACAGTAAAGACAGAAAACACAGGAAGTTCGGTGGGAGACGTGTGGTGACATCTCTATGCCACGGTTTCCCTTTAGGTCCTTCTTTAGGAAGAAAAGATCACAGAGTCTGAAAAATTAATAGTAACCTGGAGAAACGGAACTCAATAAAGCCAAAATACTTCTTCAGGGGACCCAGAACTCATCTTATCTGTAGATAATGCCAGTTTTGATTTTTTTTCTCATCATCCAATCTAAGAGAAATTTAAAACTAAAAAGGCCAAAATTAAAACAACGCTGTAATTTTAAGGTTGCTAAAACGGCTTTAGTGAGTTTATAACATAAGAAAATTATCATCACTAGCAAAGAAAGAGGCAAGTGTTTTATTTTTAACGTTAATTTTGACATTCAAATTTTTAATCCTCAATGCTGAGAAGCTGTAAAATCCTGGGGTGCAGTAGCGAAAACAGGATCTGAGTTTCATTATAACCTGCTAATTAATATGGCAAAACACAACAGCAAGACACCAGCAAGAACAGGATTCTAACCAAGTTGAGGCCTGTGTGAAACAGCAGAGAATCCCTCAAATACCAGAGAAAGAAAAATGCCAAACACTGTATTGCAATATCTCCCCTGGACACAGTTTGCTTTCCAATAAAAAAAAAGGATAGGCTAGCGGTTAACTTTGTGCCAGCATTTTCCCCTTCTCTGCATTTACAACAATCACAAACCAATCTAGCCTTAGGACAGCTTCGCCTTCAATGAGGGAAGAATGGGCAGAGGGAAATCTCTTATTTTTTTATCCATGCAAATTGGGTGGTATTTCAGGCACCATCTCCTCTACCCAAAGAGCCAATAGTATTTTGAGGGAAGCAGGTGTTTGTCATCCATTGAGTCAACCAAAAATTGCTTCATTTTCAAATTCACAGACTTTTTATATGATATCACATCTGCCCATTTTTCTCAGTATCCAACAGAATTTTTTTCTTATAAGTTCTTTTATTTATTTATTTTTTGCTGCATCACGCGGCATGCGGGATATTAGTTCCCCGACCAGGGATGAACCCGCACCCCCTGCGGTGGGAGCACGGAGTCTTAATCGCTGGACTGCCAGAGAAGTACCTTTTGTGTGTGTGTGATAAGTTCTAACAAAAATTTTTTAAATGAATTGGGATATAGTAATACTGCCGTTAGACCAGTTCCCTCGAAATTTTTCTACTTAGAGAGAAATATTTAATGTGAAAAGCAGACAGATGTTTAAGTTAGTAACTCACTACGTGCTCATTGTCAAAAACTTAATCTGTCTATCCATATATTAGGGAAAAATATGTTGGCTATCATTTGGCGATAAGTGTTTTATGGGCTCATAATCTTCGGTCTAGTTAACACCAATTCTAGCAAAACATCCTAAGAAAATGATTCAGTCAAGAGAAGACATATTCATTAAACTACTCCTTACAATATGTTTATGTAACACCAACCGAGTAGACAAAATACCCAACTAGAAAGAAATAAGCAAGTGGTTAAGTAAATGTAGGTTTCTCAACCAACGGAAATATTAGCTGACCATTACAAATTACAATGGTGCAAACCATGTCGTATTATGCAAAACATTTTTATAGGCTGCCACGTAAGTAGAATACATTCTCCGCACAAGTGAGAGATAGCTCAGATTTTCTGATTAGGACACAGGAAAAATCATGAGCCCTTCATCAAGGTGTGAACTGTGGCCTACTTGATCACAGACCCTGTTTCCTGGGTCTCTATGGTCCCCTGACGAGCTTTCTTCATCCCTCCCCTGTGCTTTGCTGAACTGTAATCCTTGCCTGCCACATGATCCACGGGGTCACTTTAAGACCCAGCTCCATTCCCATCTCTCTCACAAAGCTGTGTATTACCCTGGAGTGAAAGTGCTTTAGATTCCTTAGCACTGACTGTCATCTTCTTGATCATAGTACTTGCTTTATCTTCTCCAATAGACAGTGAATTCCACAGAGAGAGTTACTTTTAGTGCATGAAATGACTCAAATATATGATTTTGAATGAATGAATGAATGAATGAATATTAACTCCTCATAGCAAGGACCATTTATTTTCTTTGTATCTACAGTACTTCCCACAGTACAGGCCAACAGTAGATTATACATAGCTCTTTACTAAACAGTTGAATAAATGAATGTATGTGTATTGTTACACGTGACTGCTGGCTCCAATCCTGGGATGCGTTTTTCTTCCCCATCCCTTTTCCACCTTCTCCTTCTATGAAAGATCAGAGAAGCTTCTCTTCTAAAAGCAGTACTATGCATGAAGAGAACTTACCCAGGTCAAACTGGCCAGAAATGTAGCCACAAGTCTGCCGGACCTCCTCACTGTCCCAGCCCAGGGGGTACAGGGCACAGCCAGCACCGATCAACAGGCCTGCAAAGAGAAAAGACAACGGGACTTTAGCAATGCCCCTCTGCAGCCCTAGATAAAGGTACAAGGGAGAAGAAACCAATACAGCCAATGTGACAATGGAACATGGGGTCTGCTTTTGGGAAAGCACCAGCCAAGCTCCCTTTAGTGACCTAAGTTCAGTTTAATTCCAAGAACAATTCCAAGTCTGCTTAAAAGGGGGTGGGAGGTGGGAAGAACCACCTTGACAGACAGCTCAGTTTGGTTCCAACTTCCCCTTTTAAAGCATTAAAAGCCTTGCAAATCCTGTTTAGGGAGTACAATCCAGAAGCCCTTTTAATCACTCTTGTAAAAAGCCAACCCATTCCACCCTCAATCCATGTAAACAAGTAATTCGAGAGCCAGCAAAAGGGCCTCATGGGTTATGCATCATCATTCATTAGATTGCTTTTTCCAATTTAAGAATCAAAATAGAATGTTTCAGCATCATCAAATTTTTTTTTTTTTTTTTTGTGGTACGCAGGCCTCTCACTGTTGTGGCCTCTCCCATTGCGGAGCACAGGCTCCGGACGCGCAGGCTCAGCGGCCACGGCTCACGGGCCCAGCCGCTCCGCGGCATGTGGTTTCTTCCCGGACCGGGGCAAGAACCCGCGTCCCCTGCATCGGCAGGCGGACTCTCAACCACTGCGCCACCAGGGAAGCCCACATCATCAAATTTTACCAGGGGCAGAGACAGCATAAAGATTTTCATGAACCACTTGAGCACACTGATTGAACTCGTGGACCATGCTATGGTTACCATGCTCCCTTGAGAAGTTGAGAATCACCAAGTGTCCACGCATCTTGGAAACACTCAAGAACACAGACGCTAACTGTGACTTCAGCTCTTCTTGCAGCGAAGACCAAAAGGTTTGATGAGTGACCTAAAGCAAGTGACGGTTTTATTTTAAGTTAAGGTATCACGGCAGCTCACCCTGAGCGGACAGCTTTCGATTGGTGAGTCTTTAGTTTTACATCAAAACCTATCAATAATATGGTTTTATGAGAAGCTGAACGAGACTGAAGCACTGACCGATCAAATCTGAGGGCTAATCTGAAAGTATCATCTTGTCACATCAGTCAGCGAGTATTAACATCACCCGTAAATCCACAAGTGTGCTGAGCCAGTGGGACCAATGCATACACAGTCTGACTGTCTGCAGGATTGTGGGTTAAAAGGCGCTAAATAGCGGAGGCCCCTAAATTAGAAAACCTGTTAATGTGGTAACGTATAGGCCGAACAACAGTGTCCCCAAAGGCATCTAAGGGAGACCTTCAGTATTTCTGGATTGAGTCTCTTCCTGTCCCCCTTTGGCTTCTCCCCTGCCCCTGGTGGATGACTTGAGTAGTTGTAACCTGTACAAACTGTCTGTTTCCTCACAGGCATCTAAGGAGGAGCTGCTTTCTACCCCACTCCCCCAACCTCTGCCAGCTGTGTGGGGAGACATCCCCCAGAAACGGACACGTTTCCCACCCTGTTGCCCCTCCCTCTGATCCATCCCTTAGACCCCAGTAAAACGAGCATCGAATGCAGAAGGGCTGTGATCCGAGGGAATTGCCTGCAAAGAATCACTGCAGCTGCAATCACAAATTCCAGGATACCTGTATGCAACTGTGTAAATATGAATTGTGTTGAGGCCGAAAAATAATTCGAAAAGCAGTGATATGAGGTTTGCTGACTAAGCAAATATCCCAGTGACCAGTTTCCTTAGGCTTTTTGCCTTAGGATAAAAGTTATAGCATTCTGAAGACAATTCCAAACTAGCGTTATCCACCATCAGGTAAAGAGAGAATCAATGAGGATGCCAGAGTGTGTGTAAACTGAATTCCATGAATGTTGACTAAATAATGTGGCATCATTTCCATGCTACTCAGTTCTTAAATTAATAAGTAACACCACTTTTTGAGATCTGGTGAGCAATTTTTAAATGATGACACACGCAGAAAGGCCGTGAGGTATAAAATGTTCAAGGGAAGTAAAATGAAAAACAGTAGGAAAACAAATGATAAAGTCTCAATTGCTAATGTTCTTACAGTATGGCAGAAAAATATGTGTCATGTGTTCATGAAAGAAGCTGCTTTTTTTGGGTTTTGTTTTCTGTTTTGTTTTTGTTTTTATCAGAATTTATTCTTAACTTCTGAAAAGAATTGCTTTTATTTACAGTTATCCAATGCCAGTTGTTGTGTTTATATGAATTTCTTTTTAAATTTTATTTATTTATTTAATACAGCAGGTTCTTATTAGTTATCTCTTTTATACATATTAGTGTATATATTTCAATCCCAATCTCCCAATGCATTCCCCTCCCCACCCAAGAAGCCGCTTTCGTCCAGTATAAGGATCCCAGCATTTTGCGAGACTAAACAGAGAGGAACTTTTAAGTGCCTGTTATGGAGCAAACAGGCCTGTGATTCTCTAAGTGGTACAACGCTTGGTAGTCAGGGTTCTTCTGTGTAATAGAATATTGGGCTGTCTTTGTAACAGTACGAAATATGGAGTCAACCATATAAATTAGAAATAATTTTATACATAGGAAATCTGTGTTAGGTGTAAGAATTAAAAAAAGAAAAATACCATGAGCATATGTTCACATTAAAAAAGTATTCAGTGGAGGGCAACTAACTTATCTAGATTTTAGTATTCATATTTATGTAGCCGTTGTTTTGTCATCTGCTAACAGTAAAGATACTGCAGATTCTGAAGATGTGGGCAACATTTCTGGGAGAAAAGTGCGTGTTGCAAACTCCTCAGGCTAAGTGATTGTTGCAGTGATTAGGTTCCATAGGTGAATACCTGGCTTCCCCACTACCTTGCTACTATTATACATTAAGGTGAAAGCAAGTCTCGGGCCAAATTCAGCCAACTACGAAACAACTGTTTACTAGCAGGCTGGCACAAAAAGCGATCATACGACCAACACTCTAAACTCAGTGAAACCCGCCCTCAACTCCATCAGACAGTCACTCTAACAAATACCTTCAAAACACAATAACTACAACAATTATTCAGATAGCAGGATCAGGGACACTTCAGGTCAGATGACACAGGATCTTCCAGTTGATGGAATGGGAGAGGGTGCAGGAGTCGAGTTCTAGACCTGCCCTGCCCCACACAGTAGCCACGAGCTACACGTAGCTATTTAAGTTAGGGATTTCCCTGCCGCTCCAAGTGGTTAAGACTGGTGCTTTCACTGCCAGGGCCTGGGTTCGATCCCTGGTTGGGGAACTAAGATCCTGTAAGCCATGCGGTGCAGCAAAAAAAAAAAAGAAAGAAAATTAAGTTAATTAAAATTAAATAAAAATAAAATTCAGTTCTTCAATTGCACTAGCCACATTTCAAATGCCTAGTAACCACATGGCGCTAGCGGCTACCATATTAGACAGTGCAAACACAGACCATTTTCATAATCACAGAAAGCGCTATTGGAGAGGGCTGCTCTAGACCTAAGACACCACTTGAAGAGGATGGGAAAAAACCTGCCACTCTAAAATGTCCCTTTGGAATGTGGATTATTTCTAATAAAAGCAATCAAGGCCCAAAAGATTCAGGAAGAAAGTTTGACCTTCCCCTTAACTGCCTAAAAGAATGTAGACAGAGGGCCCGTTCCAGGAATAGAGCTATCACCAGAGATATTTGCAAAGAATACGGGAAGTGTGGTGGAGGAAACTACACAGGGATTAAAGATCAGAGTTCACTCTATGTCCCACTGTCTCTGCCCAGCCCAGTAAACATTTATTTACCAAACACTTGCTTCTCCATCTCCATGAAAATTGCCTTCTTCCCCTCTGAAGCCCCAAAGGACTAACCCCCAACATTCTCTTTGTCTTAGCTGAAGATGGTATTTCAAGTCAGTGACGGTTTTGCCATTTCAGGGAATCAATCACTCGGTTTTTCCTGAGTCTCTCCCCATGTACACATGTTATTAAACGTTTGTTTGATTTTCCTCCTCTTAATCTATCTCATGTCAAGTCAATTTAATTCTTAGGCCAGCCAGAAGAACCTAGAAGGGTAACGGAAAATTTCTTCCCCACCCCCACCCCCCCCCCGACACTGGGCTGGCCAGATTCTTACACCTATGCCTGACACTGCCTGTTAACAATCAAAATCATCCTTACTCTTTTAGATTCTCCCTTTGTGGGTGGGGGTGATGGGTGGCTAGAAGCCAGGAAACTACATTTCAAAAACTCTCCTGCTAGCAGAAGTTCTGGCTCATAGTCTGTCAATGAACAGGTAAAAGGGAGGAATAAACCATATTCCCCATTGGCAGCTGCAGCCAGGTGACATGCTCTTCTGCAGACAGTAGACATATTTGGGGTGTGACTTCCTGGCATCCCTCTCAGCCTCAACTCTCTAAGGGCAGATCATCAGCTGTCCTCACCTTTTTTTTTTGGATAATTTTTGATTTTTTTTTAAAAAAATATTTATTTTTGGTTGTGTTGGGTCTTCGTTGCTGCGCACGGGCTTTCTCTAGTTGTGGCGCACAGGGGCTACTTTTTGCTATGGTGCGTGGGCTTCTCATTGCGGTGGCTTCTCTTGTTGCACAGCACAGGATCTAGGAACGCGGGCTTCAGTAGTTCTGGCACGCGGGCTCAGTAGTTGTGGCTCACAGGCTCTAGAGTGCAGGGTCAGTAGTTGTGGTGCACGGGCTCCGGGCATGTGGGATCTTCCTGGACCAGAGCTCGAACCCATGTCCCCTGCACTGGCAGGTGGATTCCTAACCACTGCCCCACCAGGGAAGTCCTGCCCTCACTTTTGATCCCTGCATTTCCTGAGCTCCTGAATTCTTCAAAGCAGCTTCTCCGACCTCCACTTCCCCAGACCTCCTAGTAGGTCTGTGAAACTTTAAATCCCTGGGTTACATTCCCTGCTGCCTGAAATACCTAGAGTGGTTTCTTTTATTGGCCAATCCCTGGCTGGTACGTGCCCTACTTGTGCAAGGGCAGAGGGGCTGATACGAATCTTTCTATCTGTCCATTACTTAAAC